GACACACATGTAGATACTGAATAGTTTCTCTGGTATGAAAAACTAAAAGTGTAAATAAGGATCAAAATGTATAACTGATATTGTGAAATAGGAAGAAAAGGTCTAAAGGTGTAGGGGAAGTGGGAGGGGTAGGCAAAAGAAAAGAAAAAAATATGAGAAAATGAAAAAAATGGAAAAAAAAGTCTTTGTAAATAGGGAAAGGTGGAGGGGGTGAAGGGAGGGCAGGGCAATAGGGAAAAAATAAGAACCAAGATGCATCATGTAAAGGTACAATATCCCAATGATGAATGTAACTGTATTGTATACCTAAAATGTACCAACAAACTTAATGAAACAAAAAAGAAATGGTAGAGACCTAGATGATGTACATCTGGCCTTAGGAGTTGAAATTAGTTACCTTGAATTACTCTCCTCTATTGGGTTGTTGTTTAAGGGTATATGCTCATGGGATCAATATGACAGTAGTGTTTCTGGTTACTTTCTGCTTAATAAGGAGCTCTGGATATTGGCCCCTGGGGGATATAGAACCTATGAGAATCAGGCTGTTAAAACCCCACTCAAAAGGCCAGCCCAGAGAAGCAGCAACAGCTGTGCCCTCTGCCAGAGATGGACTCTCCTAGTGCAGATCCCAGTGAGTCAGTCCATGTGTTGGCCCTTCCTGAGGACAGATCATTAGTTTTCCACATGCAGGTGAGTTGCTGAGCTCCTTTGTCACTGAAACCTTCCAGGTAAGCCAAAGTCTCTTCCCTTCTTATTAGAATGTGAGTGAAGATATTTTAGAGCAATTTCATCACCATACAGAGATCTTCTGTACTTTTGTGTAGAGGGCTGTGAGAACTCTGGTTAAGGAAGCTGAGACAGAAGCTCAACAAGCAGCCCTGTAGTCCACATGTTTCATGCTAATAGAAACAGCAGAAATTGCCTAAATAACAACACCCACAATATGACTGTCCATCTCCCTCCACAGTTAACCAATGTCATTACTGTGTTGAATTTATTCAGGCCTTTTTGTATGAAGTGATAAAATGAGACACTTGCACAATTTACACCTCAGTGAACCCTTTCATTCTTTCCCATAGGTAGGACACCTTGAATGTGGTGATGTCCCTCATCCATGGCTCCTAATGTTACACTTAGTCAGCAGGAAGAGGCAGTACCCATTTTCCCTTATAGTTAAGGAAGGTACAAGTAAATTGGGCTATAAAATGTAAGGGAATGATCTGATAATTAACATCAAATAACAGGACTACATATGACAACATTTAATAGGAAAAGAAAATCAGCTAACCACATCAATTGTAAATGGTACATATATACACTATGATTCTGTTATGTGAACATTTAAAAATACAATACCATGAAGGTGTTGTTTGGAAGAATAGTACTAGAAAAATGAAAATGCAGAGAGAAAGGTAGCTATTAATTTATTGTGATACATGCACTGTGGAAATAAACAGAAATTAAATTTGTAAAGGAACATTTACTAAGTGGCTTCAAATATTCTGTTATTATTTCTTACAATAAAATACCTTTAAAAACCATGGTGAAGTATATGATATATTTGTTGTTTGCTAAAAGGTGGCAGCCATAAAAGAATGTCTGCAATTTCTGCCTTGCATGAATAATCCACATGAAAAATTTACATGCATGAACAGCTTTGATTAAATTTAATTTTTTGTCATGTAGAATTTTCCAATAATATTTCCTAAGTCATTCATTACCTCTGTGAATTATGTCTCATTCTTTTATTATTTAATTAATTTAAATTTCTATATGTTTTAGCATATGTAGGAGCTCTATGAATATTGGAATCATTGATGTTAGTTTCCTTACTGTTCTTTAGTCAAGAATCCCAAAGGTAGTTTGAGCATATACATCCTTCACTGACATTATCATTGCTCATGTGTGAGATTTCCTGTATTCCTTTTCTCTTTCCTTGCTATGCTAGCTGATCATTTGTTTTTTGATGGGTGAGAAGTGCCATCTTCTATTCCTTATGACATACACATGTCCACATGTCCACACATACACAAAACATTGGAAAAGTCATTTGAGGGATGGTCCTACCTAGAACTATATAGGCTGCTTTTCCTTAATTTCTCATATCCTTGAAATGCCTCCATGAGAATTTTAACCCTGAGATTTAGAGGTATAATTACAGACTAAAATGTATGTATTAAACATATATACAGTGTACACTCAAGAAATACACACTAGTAAAATATCACCATGCTGTACCAAAGAGCACACCCATTAATCAGTTTCCATTATACAAATGTAAAACATGCAGTGGAAGATTTTTACACAGCCTAAAAGTATCTGCTAGAGGATGAATTAAATTCAGAGCCTGTTAGCCTCATTTCACATCAAATGATCATTGCTGATGTAGCTGCTTCTTTCTTCCCCAGGAGATACAAAGTAATGCTCACAAGAGACACTCCTATTAGGGTTCCGGAATATCTGACTCTGTGTTATTTACTAAGTCTCTGTCTTCTAGAAAGCAAGAAACTGTTTCTATTTTTATCTTTTTTCATAAAGCCTTTGAATTTCACTCTTTCTCTCATTTAGCTATTACTTTGTTTGCTTTTTTATTCAATTATATATTTCCAGACTCATTATGGGAATAAGTTCCCATAGAATGGGGGCACAATATTATCAAAATGGCTATACAGATTCTCCTAGAATTAATATCTAATGCAGATCACTTGTGTTTCCAAAAGAGGTTCTATGAGATGCTAAAACTGAAGCTTCCTAATCATTTCTCATTCCACCTGTATGGCTGTCTTCCACATGCTGCCATTCACTTAATGTATAGTTGATGAAACACCTTGAAAGCAAGGGAAAATTTGGGAACTTATTTCATAAAGAAACTATTTCAACTATACAGGAAATTAACAAGCACTACATGAACATATGGATGCTAGTTCTCTACCAGTATCAATTAGTCGAAAGACTCACCTCGGCACTCTGACAGTGCTTTCCCCAAGTATTTGCCAAACTGTGTGCACATTTTGTATGACATGTCCTCATGGGTCTATGAGGCTAAAGCATGAACTGTCTCATCTGTACATTGACAAGTCACTCAGGTGACAGTGAGTTTAGCCCAAATTAAAGACTATTGATTAAGAACAGCCTCAACCCTGGGTCATGGGCTGATCCATGCCCTGTTAGAAATCAACTCACACAGCAAATGATCAAATCATCTGCTCTATTTACAGGCAAGCACCATTGCTTACAATACAACCTGAGCTCTGCCTCCTGGGAGATCAGCAGTGGCTTTAAATTCTCATAGAAGCAAAAATTCACACTGTGAACTCTCCATGCAAGGACCTAGGTGTGTGTGCATGAGGACCTAGGTGTATGTGTGAGGATTTACATGTGTACATGTCAGATCTAGGTATGTGGGTGTAAGGATCTAGGTGTGTGCTCCTTAAGAGAGTCTAATGCCTCATGATCTGAGGTAGAGCTTAGATGGTGATGCTGCTAATGCTGGAAAATAGATGCAAATAGGGATTAAAATTAGCAGAGATGTTTGACTTCACACACAACATAATAAATCAATTGCTTGCAGGGTCATATGAAAACCCTATAAGTGAGCACCAGGTGACAGTTAAGCTGCATGTGGTGGCAGATTTTATGTCAGAATTCAGTCCTTAGTTTAGTCAGCATGTGGCCTGCCCATGATTTTATTTTTCTTACTCTGAATTATGGTTAGTTATAAAATTATATGATTATATATTACAATGTAATAATAATAGAAAAATTTACACAGTAAAGGTAATGGGTTGTATCATCCCAAGCTACCCTCCTGCCAGTCTGAGGACAAATTGTCTTCCATGAAATGTCCTTAGTGTCAAAAAAAGATTGAAAAGTGCTGCTCTGGAAGACAGATTTGCTAAGTTTATTGTCATGTTTCTTTTTGCTTTAAGGAGGGATCTACTTGCAAAGAACAATCCAGGTATTATACTTTATCACAATCCCAGTACTTGCCAAAATTCTGAAAATGCATGGATGTTTAGTAAAGGAAGTAGAAATTAGAAGAGGGAGAAGTGAAAGGAGAAAGGGATCAGAGGATGAGCTGAAAATTCACATAATTTTACAACGTGGCTCAAAACTATGTTGTTTTAAGACACCGCTTAAAAAGCTATAGAAACATTCAATTCCCTCATAGTACATGCTCAACATAGGATCCAGGTCCTCATTCCCAGATCATGTATAACACACATTCAGGGTAATACTATGAATTTTTTATTATATCACCCACAAAAGATACTGGATCTTATCCATAAAATACTTGTTTCATTTTATTTTCACCTCATCTCTTCCACAGTTTCACTAAAAGTATGAAATTGAAAAACAAAACAGTAGTCTCAGAATTTCTTCTCCTGGGACTGACAGATGACCCAGAGCTTCAGCCCTTAATCTTCTGCCTGTTCCTGGTTATCTACCTGGTCACCATCCTGGGAAACCTGCTCATCATCCTGGCTGTAAGGATTGACTCCCACCTCCACACCCCCATGTACTTCTTTCTCTCTAGTTTGTCCTTCACTGACATCTGTATGAGCACAACCACCATCCCCAAAATGCTACTGAACATTCAAGCACAGGATCAGAGCATCACCTACACAGGCTGCTTCACTCAGAGCACCTGTGTCTTCACTTTTGGTGGTTTTGAAAGTTGTCTTCTTGCAGTGATGGCCTATGACCGCTATGTGGCCATTTGTCATCCCCTAAGGTACCAGGTCATCCTGACGCCTGACCTCTGTATCCTGCTGGTTCTACTCTCCCTGCTCCTTAGCACTGGGCATGCTCTGCTCCACAGTCTGTTGGCGCTGCAGCTGTCCTTCTGCACAAATGTGGAAATTCCTCACTTCTTCTGTGAACTTGCTCAGCTCTTCAAGCTGTCCTGCTCTGATACCTTTATAAATACCCTTCTGATATATTCAGCAGCAAATATATTCTTTGGTGTTCCTATTGCTGGAATTATTTTCTCTTATACTAAAATTGTCTTCTCTGTTTTCAGAATGCCCTCAGTGGGGGGAATGTATAAGGCTTTTTCCACCTGTGGGTCTCACCTCTCTGTTGTTTCCTTATTCTATGGACCAGGTTTTGTTGTGTACTTGAGTTCTGCCATTACTGACTCTTCCACTAAGAATGCAGTGGCTTCAGTGATGTACATTGTGATCCCTCAAATGATGAATCCCTTTATCTACAGTTTGAGGAACAGAGAAATAAAGATGTCTCTGAAGCATCTCATTACAGGGAAGCCTTTTATATTCTTGTGTCATTAGCTTTGAGTTTGGGCTTTTAGAATGTGATAAAGTGATGAGAATGCAGGTGAGACAGAAAACCTGACTGTTTAGTCCCCCAAGGTCTTTCAACATGACTGAATAATATGATGGCTAAACACATTTCAACTTGCACTTTAAAATTCTTTTAGATTCATCCAATTCTGTGATATTTGGCAAATGATTTCCATATCTAAATTCTATTGGGTTGCTCTAACTGCTTGGAAAAAAAACATGAACTAACTTTTAAATTTCAGCAATTATTTTCAGATTCATTTCAGAAAATGCAATGCTGGAGTAGTAGTTGGAACAGGGATAAGTATGAGAGACCCAGTGTTGACATCCTGGGATGAGCTTCTGCATGATTCTGCATGATTCTATAGTTAGAGTCATAGTTTGTGAAGCTAGTGATCTGAACTTTCATACATATTTAAGTAATTACTGAAATTTTCTCAGTAACTGGAAGCTTCTGAGGTTGTATTACATCTCCCCTGTTCAGCTTCATTGTTCATTTAATTCCCACGTTTATATTATTTGAATTCTTTGTAGTGTTTTTGAGATATTGGAGATTTTGAACTTCATCAGAGAGATGCCTTCAGTTCTGATAAGAAAAAGAAATCTTTATACTAATGTGCTTGGATTATAAAGAGAGTTACTGTACAATGCTATGAATTCACAAGGGTGTCCAGGGAAGGGGTTCATCGAGCATGACGTGGACTCTTCTTAGCACTATTTTCCTCACAGCCACCAGTTCCTGTACGGTAGTTTGGATCTGAAATGTCCCAAAAGCCCATGTGCTAAAAACTTGTTCCCTAGTTTCTGATGCTTGAGTGAGTCTGGCACCTGTCACAAGTTGAGTGAACTAGGAAGAAGTTGGGTCCTGTGACTGTGCACCAGAAGGAGATGGTGGGAAGCAAAACTGTCCCTCCTCTCTTCTCAGCTGCCATGAACAGAACAGCACTGGTCCATCATCAATTGCTCCTCATCAAAATACTCTCCATATCACTGCCTCAAATGCAGTGAGACCAGCCTCCCATGAAGATTCCAAGCCAAAGTAAAGTCATCTTACTTTCGGTTGATTAGCTAAAGTGCTTTTTAAAGTAGTACAAAGATGACTACCACACCTGGTGGTTGTTTCCCCTAAACAGAAAGCTGCATGCCCTCTTCTTGGTCCACTAATAGGAGATCTCTCTATGGATAACCTAGAAGACACCTCTGTCTTCAGTAGAATACTGGGCCTGAAAATGATACTTCCCTATCCTTATGCCTCTCACTTGTTATTATGCATCTTCGTAACAGGATACATGCTGCTTACATCAACAAAGGATTGTTTTTGCAGTGAATGGTCTTCTTTTATCTTTTTGTTTTTCTTTTTTTGCCCAGTACCAGGGATTGAACTCAAGACCTTGTGCTTATGAGGCAGTCATGGCACCACTGAGCTAAATCCCCAGCCCAGGAATGGTCTTCTTATGGTAAATTACTTGTGTCAGTACTAAATGTAATTTCATATATTATTGCAAGATAAACAAAAGTAGAGACGAAAATTGGATTGACCCAACAAATTTTGATTGTAATATTATATGTTCTTCTAAAAACTTATTTTGTTAGACTGTAATACATCCTCATCCCCATTATATGTGTCCATATAATTTTTTACATTAAATTTTTTTAATCTTCATTAACATTAAAGGTAATGAAAACACACTTGAGGCCAGAGTCACAAGCAAAGAATTCCTGAATAGGACTCCAAAAATATAATAAGTAATAACAAGAATCAATAACCAGGATGCCATCAAATTAAAAAGGTTGTGTGCAGCAAAGGAAACAGTTAACAGAGTGAAGAGACAGGACAATGAATGGAAGAACAACCTTTGCTCGCTATATTTCTGATAAAGAATTAATATCTATAAAATGTAAAACACTCAAAAACTAGAAAACAAATAATACAGATTTAAAAGACACTTCCCCCAAGTCCTACAAATGAGAAGGGATCCAGCATGGCCAACTAGTGGCAGAGGTCCATGAGGGAGTCTCAGAGAAGACCCACTAGAAAATTCAAGTACTCAAAAGTGGGGGAGTTAAATATACCCAAACATGAGGAATTAACATGAAAGACAAATCCACTTGATCAAATCCAACATTGAGTGGGTTAGAAAGGGAAGCAGGGCCTAGGCTTGATATAAAAAAGGAGTATAGTTAGGGTAGCTTAACAACAGAAATTCACTATTTCACAGTTCTGAAAGCTCTGAGACACAGTGCCCCAAACACCCCAGGTCTGGTTACCATGCCACCTTGAGCATAACACAGCAAGGGAGAGTCTCACAGATTAGGGCATCAAAGAAACTAAAACTAGAGTATCACTCAGAGGGCAGAGACTCAATGACATCCTCAGGCTCCTGGAGAAATGTAGAACAAGTGCACAGAATTAACTGGGGACCCAGAGCTGGCAGCTTGGAGAACTGTGCCTCTGGGAGCTGCAGATTACACCGGTGAAGCACAGGTTAGAAAGGGAATTCCAGCACAGGCAACCCCCTCTACTCCTCAAACACTTGGGAGTTCTGTGTCTGTGTTATATCCTACTCACTCTCCATTATTCAGAGCAGGCATGAAAGATTCCTCCATGCCTGACCAAGAGTTGCTAAGCACCAAGAGGCCTCAGTATCACAAAGCTGGTGGGTGGGGGGCTGTGGTGTAACTGGCTAAACATGGGGGAGAAAGGAGTACCATAGTGCAGGGCCTGAGCAGGGACTCCCCTACTATCCTAAAATCCAGGAAGTTTTGTTTGCCTGTAATCCCCTACCAAGTGCCTACCTTTTTGTGGCAGTAAGGGAACTTCCTGACACCCCACCACAGAGCTCATGAGTAGGAAAGCAACAACATTGGGCATGGTGGAGGAGACTCAGGCTGAGATAGGGAGTTGTGACTTAGCCAGAGAACAAGACAGTGTGCACTCAGGTACAGCTCTATAGAAAAAGACCTCAGGGCTGCAAGGATTCACAGGCTTTATGGGATTCTGAGAAAAGATTAAATTATTAAAACAAATTTTATTTTATATTATTAATATGATTGGCTCTGAAGATGCTAATAAAAATGATAGATGTTCTTTTTTTTGCAACACAGAGACTGGGTTTGATCTTATTGTGCTGAGTAGGTTAAAGAGGAGTATAAATACAAAATTACAATCAAATGCAAGATAATATCATTGAGAAATATACACTATCAAAAAACCCCTCCATACTATGTTGGGAGCAATGCTACATAATTTTAGGGAAAAATCATTTGATTAGGCCTAGTTCTCCTGCCTACAGGCCAGCTATGGCATTTCAAACCATGATTCCATTTTGGCCTCCATCACAACTGAGACCTCAATGACCCCATAATGCTGTGATGCTCCAGAGCAAGATCACACATGCTGGAGACATCCTGGGAGGAACCAAATCTTCACCTGCATAGTTCCTCATTGATCTAGGAATTCCACCACTCCCCAGTTACCTGTTACATTTGTTTCTCCCTATGTACTGAATAAAAGGTGTGGTGCGGCAAGCTCGGAGCTTTTGTCTTTGCTGCTCAGAGCAGCACTGATCAGGCCCAAAGCTCAGCTTCTTCTCCAAGTCTCATTTTTTCTACCTTTCCTGTGTAATAATTGAATTCACCTTGTGCTGCTGTGGGGCACAGGAGACTAGAACTTACTGCAGAGGTTCTAGTAATGTCCCTTTCCCCTGTTTCCTACAATACTAGTGATATAATTATTCCACATTATTTGATTTTTCAACCCTCAGTGCTTATGCACAAACACACTCACATGAAACATGAGAAAACAGTGTTTATAGTGTTTATACTCATGTAAGTGGGATACATTTTCATACCTAAAATTTAATCAATCTTACTGAAGCTATGAAATAGGTATACTTTTATTTATGGGTAAACTGTAAAGCTTGAATTTGTTAGAAAATTGTCATGTTTTGGGTATGCAAGGATGGTGAAATAAAGGTAAACTGAAATATTGGAGAGAAATAAATGTTATACACCTGGACTTGGGAGTCAGAAAATGGGCCACCATGAATTCCTGACTTGTATCTTCTTGGTGTCTAAGGGTATGCACTCTTAAGACCAGAATGATAGAAAAATTGGTGGCCTAATGAGTATCTATGGATACTGAGACTGAAGAGATTTAAAGACTATAGAATTCTGTATATAACAACCTGTCTCAATACCCCTGCCCTGTCAAGTGAAAAAAAATCAGGTGTGCCTTTGCTCAGAGATGATTCTTCCTGAACAGGAGACTCTTGATATATTTAGTCTGTATGCACTATCTGAGGACAGATCTTCATCTTCAATATCCAGGTGAGTTGTGAACATTATTTTTCTTGAATTCAAGAAGGTAACACAGTTTGCATAGCTAATGATTTAAAAATGAGGGTAATGGTGTTAATAGAATTTCATCCCAGAAAACAGCCAGGAGAAGACATGCATAAGATGAGAGAAAATTCACTTGTGGCTCTACTGTCAACTTTAACATCTTTTTGACACATCCACAAATGTTCTCACACTTGTGATCTCATACACCCTACAGTAAAAGGGCCTATTTCCTTCTGAGCAGAAACGTGCACAATTTCCAATATGATGGCACTACTAAAACTTTCTTACATTTAATTTAATTTTTGTTTTGGTGTTGTTGACTATGTTTGTTTAGGGTGTAAGTGCCTAGGCCTGATATAAAAAAGGAGTATAGTTAGGGTAGCTTGACAACAGAAATTCACTATTTCACAGTTCTGAAAGCTACAATTCCAAAGATCATGGTTAGCACAGACTGATTTTATAATGACTTTCCAAATGTGGCTGCTGCTGGCCATGCATATACTCTCCATTTACCTGTAATTTCCAGCAGATTCATCACCAACATGGAAGCTGCAAATCAAACAGCTCTCTCAGAATTCAATTTCCTGGAGCTGACAGATGATCCCAAACTGCAGCCCCTCATTTTAAGCCTCTTCCTAGCCATA